GAGGAGCAGGAAAGCTGACGTTTCAGGCCTAGACCCTTCTTCAGTTCTGAACAAGGGTCTAGGCCCGAAACATCAGCTTTCCTGCTCCTTTGATGCTGCTTGGCCTGCTGTGTTCATCCAGCTCTACACCTTGTTATCTCAGATTCTCCAGCATCTGCAGTTCCTACTATCATCTGTGAAGGTGTGTTTTTTTTAGCAGGGTCAGAAAGCTTTTTGGAACAGTGACCTAGCTATGTTATTTCATGAAGAGATGTGCTTTAAGTTAAATGCCTAGTAAGGGTGCCTTTGGAGTTAATTGATGAAACATTTATACTGCTGAGTTTTATAAACAGACCAGAGGCCTTTAGCTTTCAACTTCAGTTCAGAAGAATCAGGAGTTCAGTTCAGAAGGGTGAACAGTTTTGTCCTTGCAGGAGAATCACATTTTTCAGTTCAGTGGCAAGCTATACCCTAGCCAATAAAAACAGAAATCGCTGGAAAAGCTCAATACATCTCACAGCATCTGTGGAGAAAACATTTTGGGTCCTTTGAGTGACCCTTCCCCAGAACCCTAGCCAGTTAGCTTGTGAAGCTTCCAAGCTGGGAGAGCTTGTATAGTTTTATTTCAATTCGTTCAGGAGATATGAGGTTTGCTGGCAGGGCCAACAGTAATTGACCATCTCTAATTGCCCATGAGAAGGTGGCAGTAGACTTCAGACTGTTAGAATTAAAAATGTTTGGCCATTGCAATTGTGAAAGGTTCGTGGCAGCAGATAGGAATTACAAAAGTATCTCAACAGTCCAAGAAAAATAAATTGAGAAGACAGTTAAGTAAAGGTGAAGGAGTTGTGACAGAGTGACATTTCTCTGGAATAGTGCTGGATCACAGGGAAACAGGATACGAGATAGACCATTTTGAGCTGAGATGAGGTCTGAAATTTTTTTCAATCCAAAAGTAGTGAACCAGTGGAATCCTCTATTGAAGAAGGCTGTGGAGGCCAAGTCACTGAATATATTCAAGAAAGAGGTGGATACGTTTTAGATTTTTATAAGTATCAAAGCATATGGGGAGAAAGCAGGAATACGGCATTGAGATAGAGGGTCAGCTTTATCATATTGAATGATGAAGCAGGCGTAGAGGGCCAAATGGTCCACTCAGCTCCTTGCTTCTATGTTTGTAAGAGTCTGAAAGAGAGAAATCATGATGCGTCAGAAAGGAGGGCCTTAATATCGTCTGTAGAAGGCAGACAATCAGGGTGAGCTGATGAAGGCAGCTCTTTGCCTTGTGATGCTGAATTGCAGGCTTGTCCACTCAAGCACTGGCTTCAAATTTCTCTTCCCTCAATGCAGATTGCTTCAATAGTCATACTTGTGTTCAAATCCCCAATATATGCAACCAATGGACAAGCCTCCCTACAGATATAGTAATATCCTGGAATTTTTCCTGGATTGGAACAAGAGAACGTGGTTCAGTCCTACAGCCTGACTACGCTGATTTCTGATCTGGCCATATCTTTCAACATCTTTGGATGACGAAAATCTTTCTAACTCAGTTTTAAAATCAACATTTTTTACTTTATCATTATTCATTCACTGGATGGGGGCATCGCTGGCAAGGCCAACCTTTATTGCCCATTCCTAGTTGCCCAGAGGACAGTTAAGAGTCAACCACATTGGTGTGGATCTGGAGTCACATGTAGGCCAGACCAGTTAAGGATGGCAATTTCCTTCCCTAAAGGATATTAGTGAACCAGATAGGTTTTTCCTTAACCATCGACAATGGTTTCATGGGCTTCACTAGACCCTTCATTCCAGATTCTTTATTGAATTCAAATTCAACCATCTGCTGTAGTGGGATTTGAACCTGGGCCCCCAGAACATTATCTGGGTCTCTGGATTAACAGTCCAGTGATAATACCACGAGGACATCACCTCCCCCTTTTAATTGATCTCACATCAACTGCCTTTTGCAGGAGAGCATTTCAAATCTCTGCTACTCTGTGTGTGAAGAAATGTTTCCCCAATACCCACCTGAAAGTTCTGCCTGTGTTTTGTTTTAACTTCACTGCATTGTCCAAGACTTTCTGATCTGTGGAAATAGTTTCTCCCAATCTCCCTCGTCTGTTCCTTTTAATGTCCTGAAATGTTTGGGTCTTAGGGTATGACTTCCTCAGAGATTTGTGGTCAAGAAGATTCATCATGCGTTTGTTCACTTCCACCGCCATTTATAAAATGATAGTCTGTCCAGGATCTTGCAGGGGAATTGGTATTTATGCCTGATAGATGCAGTTGCATCATGACCATAGATCTGGGCTGTCGTGCCAGTCTGTTACAATTTAGCTCATCTCCTTTGGTCAATATCTCTAAGACAGGACGAAGGAAGGAATAAACTGCTTTGGATTCCGCTCATTCGCTGGTAACTCCCATGGGACGTGTATCCTAACAAAGGAAGGAATCCGTCTCATCTATGATTGTCTCTGTGGTTGTATAGTCAGTTGCTACTTTAGGGGATCTCTCCCTTAAACTGAAGACATCACTTGCTCCCTGCAAGAACCCTCAAGTGGAATGTTTTAACATCGGAAGCTATTGCAAGATGGTTCCTGTACAGTTCTCACTGATCAGGGGTCTCTCTGCCTACCAGAGGTGCCTCAGTAGGACATACTGAGTTCTGATATATATAGGCAGGTGGGACTAGTTTAGTTTGGGATTATGGTTGGCATGGACTGGTTGGACTAAAGGGTCTGTTTCCGTGCTGTATGACTGTATGGCTCTGTGGTCATCAAGTCCTGAAGTGGGTGTTCTGGCCCAGACAGAGAGTTGCTACCATCACACCACTGCCACGTACCCCTTCAGGGGCCAATCCACTGTTCTGCCCTCCCCACTGCACTCTTGGTGAAGATCAGAAAGGTAGCTCCCCCTCACCAACGGCAGTCCCTGGGGTTGCCAGCTCCACTGTGGCATTGTAACCTCATACTGTTATCATCAAGAATGAGGAATGTCCACTTGGTGCCTCTCTGTGGGCAAGGGGCACAACTGCTGCCCACTTAATCACTGCCCAGGAAAAAGACATTGAAGAGAAATTACAGTGATGGCACACAGAGCTGCTCCTCATCAAAAATGGTTCCATATTTTAACATGCGAAGCAGCGTTGCACTCTCTCTATTCACGCACAGAGTTTACTGTTTGATTGTAGCGTTCTGAAAGAATTAAAACAAGGGGAAGGTTCATACTGCATGCCCCATTGGAGAACAAAAGCATTCTTTGCACTGACCTAGTGGACAAGTTGTGTTGATAAATAGCGAAGCTGCAACTTGTTTTCGTTTAAGGTACACAAGCGAGCAAAGCAGCCTGGTGCTGTCTGTGAAATGCAAATGATCGAGCTCCTCCCTTAAGTTGTGACAGCCTCAGCAGTGAAGGTGTTAAAGACCGGAGCTGGTCATGTGGTACCCAAAGAAGACTGTTCACAAAAGGCCTAATTATTTTGCCATGAATCCCTAAGGGAACATGTTGTGTGCTTCCTGAGGATATACAGGTGGCTGTAGCCTTCTCTCACACGTATATGGAACCTCTAGCTCCAACTTGGACCAGACCCGATTGCAAAGGAACACGATTTCTCTTGCAAGTTTTCAGTATTCAGCACATTATGGGCAACGTAAGCAACTTTTTGTTTGATCTATTTCCTTTGGGCGGTGAAGATACTTTTATGGAAATAGTTTAATTCATGAACAAAAGGTAGGTCAGGTTAACTTTAAGAAGATAGCTGCATCCTTCAGCTGGAGGTGCGAGATTCTGATTTAACATTTGTAAATCTTAGGATGGAGAGAGCAAGCCTGTTTGTGTAACGTAATGGTTGCACAATGTAATGTTTTAAGACTGACTTCAGCCCTGTAACAAAGGCTACATTGACTAGTTGGTGAATTTCTGTCTGAGGCATTGGCAGGGCTTGTATCTGGAGTGTTCTACCATTATTCTCACTGTAGTCGAAGATTCTAATTTTAAACAACTTTAGTAATTTGTGGTCAGGTTAGAATTGGACATACTTGACTGTCAACATGTAAGACTTTGATAGGGTCTATTCACACTGTCCTGACCGATATTTATTATCAGTCTGCATCATAGTAATGGATGATGTGCTCATGATGACCTTACTCTCTTTGAGAACTTGCAGTACACAAACTGACAGTGACTTTTCAAACATTGCAACAGTGACAGCACTTCAAAACTATTTCACTGACTGCAAAGCACTTTAAGATGCTGGGATTATGAAAGGCTCTATGTAAATTCAAATCTTTAGTGATTTTTTTTAAGCAGTACATATATTTACACAGCTTGCTGTTTGCAAAAGTTTTTAAAAAATGTAGCGAGTAGAATATGCAAGGCTTCTGTGTGTTGTGCTTTCAAGCAATGCATATAACCGACTATTTATTTAGCAGTGGAAAGATTAAGAATTTGGCTGTATTTAAATGCACAAAGGTCGTGGGTTTTCCATAAGGGAGCCCTCTGATTGGGTGCAGTAATTGATCTCACAGTTCTGTGGTTTGTGGAGGGTAAAATCAATGAGGAATTCCCATTCCTGGTCACTATTCATTGGGCTAGCCGTGCCTCGTTGACCCTAGTCACTATTCAATAGTTGATCCTGTCACTATTCAGTAGTTGATCCTGTCACTATTCAGTGGGTTAGTCGATCCCAGTCAGTATCCAGTGGGTTAGTCGATCTCGGTCACTATTCAGTGGGTTAGTCGATCTCAGTCACTGTTCAGTGTGTTAGTCGATCCCGGTTGCTATTCAGTGGGTTAGTCGAACCCAGTCACTATTCAGTTGGTTAGTCGATCCCACTCACTATTCAGTGGGTTAGTCGATCCCAGTCACTATTCAGTAGGCTAGTCGATCCTGGTCACTATTCAGTGGGTTAGTCGATCTCAGTCACTATTCGGTGGATTAGTCAATCCTGTCACTATTCAGTGGGTTAGTCGATCCCAGTCACTATTTAGTGGGTTAGTCGATCCTGCTTACTATTCAGTGGGTTAGTCGATCCCAGTCACTATTTAGTGGGTTAGTCGATCCCAGTCACTGTTCAGTGGGTTAGTCGATCCTGCTTACTATTCAGTGGGTTAGTCGATCTCAGTCACTATTCGGTGGATTAGTCAATCCTGTCACTATTCAGTGTGTTAGTTGATCCCAGTCACTATTCAGCACGGTAGTCGATCCCGGTCACTGTTCAGTGTGTTAGTCGATCCCAGTCACTGTTCGGTGTCTTAGTCGATCCCAGTTACTATTCAGTGTGTTAGTTGATCCCAGTCACTGTCCAGTGGGTTAGTTGATCCTGGTCACTATTTAGTGGGTTAGTCGATCCCGCTCACTTTTCAGTGGGTTAGTCGATCCTGCTTACTATTCAGTGTGTTAGTCGATCTCAGTCACTATTCGGTGGATAGTCAATCCTGTCACTATTCAGTGGATTAGTCGATCCTGGTCACTATTCAGTGGGTTAGTCGATCCTGTGACTATTCAGTGGGTAAGTCGATCCTAATCACTATTCAGTGGGTTAATCGATCCTGCTCACTATTCAGTGGGTTAGTCGATCCTGTCACTATTCAGTGGGTTAGTCGATCCTGTGACTATTCAGTGGGTTAGTCTATCCCGCTCACTATTCAGTGGGTTAGTCGATCCCCCTCACTGTTCAGTGGGTTAGTTGATCTTGTCACTATTCAGTGGATTAGTTGATCATGTCACTATTCAGTGGATTAGTCGATCCTGCTCATTATTCAGTGGGTTAGTCGATCCCTGTGACTATTCAGTGGGTTAGTCGATCCCAGTCACTATTCAGTGGATTAGTCGATCCTGTCACTATTCAGTGGTTTAGTTGATCCCAGTCACTATTCAGTGGATTAGTCGATCCTGTCACTATTCAGTGGGATAGTCGATCCCGGTCACTATTCAGTGGGTTAGTTGATCCTGCTCACTATTCAGTGGGTTTGTCGATCCTGTCACTATTCAGTGGGTTAGTCAATCCCAGTCACTATTCAGTGGGTTAGTCGATCCCACTCACTGTTCAGTGGGTTAGTCGATCCTGCTCACTGTTCATTGGGTTAGTCGATCCCAGTCACTATTCAGTGGGTTAGTCGATCCCAGTCACTATTCAGTGGGTTAGTCGATCCCAGTCACTGTTCAGTGGGTGAGTCGATGCTATAGCCTGCCTGGGCAGATGGATTCTTTCTCCATTGAAACCTTCCACAGAAGGTGGGGAATAGTGTGTCAGCACAGATGGTAGGATTGGACTCAGCTCAATGTCCAAACACCGTCAGTTCTGAAACACATCTGAAGGATGACACTGTATCCTTGACAAGTGACTAACTCCACATCCAGAACAGAATGGCCAGAAGCAAGAAGCTTTGCGTTGGCAGTGGATGCAGCTTTAATGATCGTTCAGCTCAATCTTTTTGTCTTCTTTCAGAGCGTGGAGCACCGGGTCTTGTCTCGAGACCCGTCTGTGGATCTTGAATACAAGCAGATTGACTCGGGAATGTCATCCCCCAACACCACTCTCTCATCGCAGCAGCAAGCCAGGTTTGACTCAGGATCACCGTCCAGCACTCTGTCCAACTACGATTCCTGCCACTCGAGCCAGTCCAGTACGAGAGAGAAAAGGAGCAGCCGCCAGGGCCCAGGGCAAGGTGACGTGTCAGGGCAATAACTGGTCTCACTGAGTGGCTGAAGCCACTACAATACTGTGTTCGAATCCGGGCATTGCTCAGAACGTCAAGGGCTCGGAGAGAACGCAGAGGAGTTTTAATAGAACGGAAACCAGCGGTAGGGGCGTGAAGAAGCTGGAGTTGTTCTCCTCTGAGCGGGGAATGTTAGGAAGAGATTTGAGAGCAGTGTTCAAAATTGTGAAAAGTTTTGACAGTAAGGAGCGGGGAGAGAGGGGAGAGGGAGGAAATCCAGAGGTCACAGATTTAAGGGGATTGGGAAAAGATGCCAGAGGTGACATGAGCGAAGATTTTTATTTACCCAGTGTGTTGTTGCAATCTGAAAATGCACTGTCTGAAAGATAGCAGATTCAATAGTAATTTATAAACTGGGATCTTAATGCGGAGGTGATGGCCTAGTGATATTATTGTTAGACCTATTAATGTGGAAACTCAGTGAATGTTCTGGGGAACCTGGGTTCAAATCCCACCATGGCAGATGGCAGAATTTGATTTCAGTAACAAATCTGGAATTGAGAGTCTAGTGATGATTATGAAATCATTGCCAATTATTGAAAACATGTTTAGAGTCATAGTGACGTACAGCACAGAAACAGACCCTTTGGTCCAACTCGTCCATGCTGACCAGATATCCTAAATAAATCTAGTCCCATTGCCAACATTTGGCCCATATCCCTCTAAACCCTTCTATCCATATTCCCATCAAGATGCCTTTTAAATATTGTAATTGTACCAGCCTTCACTGCTTCCTCTGGCAGCTCATTCCATACACACACCACCCTCTGCATGATAAGGTTGCCCTTTGAGTCCCTTTTAAATCTTTCCCCTCTCACCTTAAACCCATGCCCCCCCAATTTTGGACTCCCCCATCCCAGTGAAAAGACCTTGTCTATTTACCCCATCCATACCCTTCATGATTTTATAAATCTCTATAAGGTCACCCCTCAGCCTCCAATACTCCAGGGGAAATAGCCCCAATCTATTCAGCCTCTTCCTATAGCTCAAGCCCTCCAACCCTGGCAACATCCTTGTAAACCTTTTCTGAACCCTTTCAAGTTTCACAACATCCTTCCTATGGCGGGGAAACCAGGATTGCTTTGGGGAAGGAAGCGGCCATCCTTACCTGGTCTGGCCTACATGTGACTCCAGACCCACAGCAATGTGCTTGACTCTTAACAGCCTTCTGGGTAATTAGGGATGGGCAATAAATATTGGCTTGGCCTACAATGCCATCATCTGATGAATGAACTTTTTAAAAAAATTGCATATACTGTATAGCTGAAGAGAAGAAATTTTGAGCTATGGTAAAGGAGGTTTTATTTTAATTCTTGCATGTGATGTGGGCACCACTGGCGAGGTCAGTATTTGTTGCTGAATAACCTCTCTCTGTGCTGCTTGATTCTATCATTCAATGCACAGGTCTGCAACCATTAAAGAGTTAAAATTTAGGGCCAAGTACAGGGGGTCCTGCTATAATGTGACAGTTGCATTCCTGCGCAACATCGCATTGTAGAAAATTGTGCTATAGAAATAATAGGGCCTGTGGGAAAAGCAGGGCTGACCACCAAAAAAAATCACTCCAAAGCCTAACACAAAAGATAGCACAGTTTGAATAAACGTTTAATTCATATCTAATAATGAAATAAAAGTAAATTTAACACCTTATCTTGAAAAAATGTCAGGATGCCCTGATGGGGGAGGAGGTTTTGTAGTTGCTGTGTTGTTAATGCAGGGGCTGAAGGTCGTCATCATCATCATCATCATCACCTTCAGGTACAGTTGTGGTTGCAGAGTTAGGGCCAAAAAATAATTAATCCAGAAGTGGATGGTTGTGGTTCATTGCCTTCTGACTGTTTCTTGGGGTTTGGCTTAAAAAAGATATCCAGTTTTTGCTGCTTTGCTGTTTTTCTTCTTTCATGAAGAAGCTGTTTATAGGTTGGCAAATAAGCTCTTATTCTATGAAGTGTTAAAGCTCTTTTAAAATTGAAGAACACTGTCCTTATCCCCTTCAGTGGCTGCAATCAGCCTCTTCAATGTGCGCCTTAAATAATAAACTTTAAAAGCTGCTATTGTGCCCTGATCCGTGGGTTAAAGGAGAGAGGTTGAGTTTGCGGATAGAAATAGCACTTTGATGTTTTCAGAAAGCTCACCAATGGTGGAAGGATGGCTTGACGCATTATCCAGGACGAGGGGAATCTTGAAATCCAGATTTGTTTTCTTGCAATACTTTCTAAAAACATCTTCCAAGACACCAACAATGAGGTCAGAAAAAAAACTGCCCTGTCATCTAACCTCTTTTGCTTGTACATAAGAACATAAGAACTAGGAGCAGGAGTAGGCCGTCTGGCCCTTCGAGCCTGCTCCGCCATTCAATAAGATCATGGCTGATCCTTTCGTGGACTCAGATCCACTTACCCGCATTCTCACCGTATCCCTTAATTCCTTTACTGTTCAAAAAAAATCTACCTTTTTTTTAAAAGTGTTTACTGAAGTAGCGTCAACTACTTCACTGGGCAAGGAATTCCATAGATTAACAACCCTCTGGGTGAAGAAATTCCTTCTCAGTTCAGTCCTAAATCTGCTCCCTCTAATCTTGAGGCTATGCCCTCTTGTCCTAGCTTCACCTGCCAGTGGAAACATCCTCTCTACTTCTATCTTATCTAGTCCCTTCATAATTTTATATGTTTCTATAAGATCCCCCCTCAATCTTCTGAATTCCAATGAATATAATCCCAATCTACTCAGTCTCTCCTCATAAGCCAACCCCCTCAAAACCGGAATCAACCTAGTGAACCTCCTTTGCACCCCCTCCAGTGCCAGTACATCCTTTCTCAAGTAAGGAGACCAAAACTGCACACAGTACTCCAGGTGTGGCCTCACCAGCACCTTGTACAGCTGCAACATAACCTCTCTGCTTTTTATTTCAATCCCTTTAGCAATGAAGGACAAAATTCCATTTGCCTTCCTAATTACTTGTTGTACCTGCAGACTTACCTTCTGTGATTCATGCACAAGGACACCCAGGTCCCTCTGCATAGCAGCATGCTGCAACTTTTTATCATTTAAGTAATAATCCTTTTTACTATTACTCCTACCAAAATGTATGACTTCACATTTATTTACATTGTATTCCATCTGCCAGACCTTTGCCCACTCACTCAATGTATCTATGTTCCTCTGCAAAGTTTCACAGTCCTCTGCACACTTTGCTTTGCCACTCATCTTAGTGTCATCTGCAAACTTTGACACCCTACACGTGGTCCCCAACTCCAAATCATCTATATAAATTGTAAATAATTGTGGTCCCAACACCGATCCCTGAGGCACACCACTAGTCACTGACTGCCAGCTAGAATAGCACTCATTTATCCCCACTCTTTGCTTCCTGTTAGTCAACCAATCCTCTATCCATGCTAATACTTTACCCTTAATGCCATGCATCCTTATCTTATGCAGTAGCCTCTTGTGCGGCACCTTGTCAAAGGCCTTTTGGAAGTCTAGGTACACCATATCCACTGGGTCCCCATTGTCCACCTTGCTCGTAATGTCTTCATAGAATTCCAAAAGATTTGTCAAGCATGACCTGCCCTTCATGAACCCATGCTGCGTCTGCCCAACGGGACAATTTCTATCAAGATGCCTTGCTATTTCTTCCTTGATAATAGACTCAAGCATCTTCCCCACTACAGAGGTTAAGCTAACTGGTCTATAATTCCCCATCTTTTGTCTACTTCCCTTTTTAAACAGTGGCGTCACATTTGCTGTTTTCCAATCTGCTGGGACTGCCCCAGAGTCCAGCGAATTTTGGAAAATTACCGCCAGTGCACCTACTATTTCTCCCGCCATCTCTTTTAGTACCCTGGGATGCATTCCATCGGGGCCAGGAGACTTATCAATCCTTAGCTCCATTAGCTTGCCCAGCATTACCTCTTCCGTAATTATGATTGTTTCCAGGTCCTCACCTGCCTTCGTCCCTTTGTCAATTACTAGCATGTTATTAGTGTCCTCCACTGTGAAGACTGATACAAAATACCTGTTCAATGCCTCGGCCATTTCATCATATCCCATAACTAAATTCCCCTTCTCATGCTCTAAAGGGCCAACGTTTACTTTAGCCACTCTTTTTCATTTTATATATTTATAGAAACTTTTCCTGTCTGTCTTTATATTGAGTGCTAGTTTTTTCTCATGTTCTATCTTACTTTTCCTTATAGCTCTTTTTGTGGCTTTCTGTTGACCTTTAAAGTTTTCCCAATCTTCTAGTTTCATGCTGTTTTTGGCCACTTTGTGTGCCTTCTCTTTCAATTTGATAGCCTCCCTTATTTCTTTAGACACCCATGGCAGATTACCCCTTTTCTTACAGTCCTTCCTTTTCATTGGAATATACTTTTGCTGAGCACTTTGAAAGATTGCTTTGAAAGTCCTCCACTAGGGATGACTTAAGGTAACCTTTCAAGGCTCGCGGGTTGGCAGAGTGAGAAACGATCATGTGACGTCGATGCGTGCTCCTCTGTGCACTGATAGAATCGCCTTACAGCCATCACAAGTTTGCGTTTCAGAAGTAGCGTTTCCCCTATTCGTCAGTCGCTTTACAGTCAATTCTCATTGCCGGAATATGCGTTATAGCAGCACCTCCTGTGCTGTTAGCAAGCCTCCTGGTTCTCATATGTCATTGGCAGTGCTTTTCATTTGCACAAAAGAAAGAGTACATTTAGGATAATTGAAATCGTGCTGTACAGGTGGCAAGATAGTAAAATCAATTGACTGAAACGTTTGTGCATCTTAAGTCATTACAAATGAAACCAAAAGCATTGATTGCAGTTGCATTGGCTGGTGTGGTTAGATAGTGAGGCTCTGCTGCCATCTTGTGGTATTATGAAAGATTACAACCACCACCACACGAGTATACACTTGCTTATATCAATTCAAAGTTATTTGATGCTTGAAAATAATTTGAACGATTTGACGTAAATTTCCTTAAATTAGCACAGAGGATATTTTTGGAACAATTTCTATTTAAATGAACAATAAGTTTAAGTGGTGAATTGTGAGTGCTGCCTTTGCCATAGCATCTAATGTTATAAACCGAAAAAACTGCGGATGCTGTAAATCAGGAACAAAAACAGAAGTTGCTGGAAAAGCTCAGCAGGTCTGGCAGCATCTGTGGAGAAAAAAATCAGAGTTAATGTTTTGGGTCCAGTGACCCTTCTGCAGAACTGGAAGAAGGGTTCTGAAGAAGGGTCACAGGACCTGAAACGTTAAATCTGTTTTATTCTTCACAGATGCTGCCAGACTTGCTGAGCTTTACCAGCAACTTCTGTATCTAATGTTGTTAGTCTTGCAGGTGTTAAGGCTGTACATACAAACTGAGTAAGTTCCATTAGAAGGGTTCTGTCCCGAAACGTTGACTTTCCTGCTCCTTGGATGCTGTCTGACCTGCTGTGCTTTTCCAGCTCCACATTTTTTGACTCTAGCTTCCAGCATCTGCAGTCCTCTCAGTCTGTAAGTTCCACTTATATTCTCCTACAGAGTGGATACAAACATTTCAGTGCACAAGTAGTGCTGTCATATTGAGCCCAGTACCTTCAGGAATTCATGCTTTCCTGGCAACCAGCCCATCTTGTCTCCTCTGGTTTAATAATATTTTGCAGTTTGTATCTAAAATTTTTAAAGCTAGGGAGAATTGCAATTTTTAATGCAACTTCAACCAGGGGTGACAACAGATCTCTTAAAATCTTGTGTTGTAAGAAATGTTCAATTATTTAAACAGGAAACATATTCACCTGAATGGTGGTATCAGTATCAGAGAGGGAGTTTAGTTTCTTCCCTCGCTCCTTTCTGGCTCTGTCCCTTTATAGGTAATGATAAACACTGGGGGCCAGTTGCACAGTCAGTATTAGTAACAGCAAAGCATTAAGGGGACATCACACTGTGACCTTGTTCTTCTCTGGCTTCATATCAGCGTGTATAATCCTTATGTGGCTTGCTGGGCTGTTCCCAGTCAGAGCTACCTCAATGGAGTTCACTTCCCCATTTTTTCTTGTTCAGGAGAAAACGCAGCTATTTTTGTTCTTTTTGTTCATGGGATGAGGGCGTTGCTGGCTAGGCCAGCATTTATTGCCCATCCCTAATTGCCCAGAGGGCAATCAGGAGTCAAGCACATTGTTGTGAGCCCGGAGTCACACATAGGCCAGACCAGGTAAGGATAGCAGCTTCCTTCCCTAAAGGACATTAGTGAACCAGGTGGGTTTCTTCCCAACAATCAATTCATGGTCATCATTAGACTCTTAAATCCAGATATTTATTGAATTCAAATTTCACCATCTGCCATGGTGGAATTCGAACCCAGGTCCCCAGAAAATTCCTTGCGTCTCTGGATTATCAGTCTAGTGATAATACCATTAGGTTATTGCCTCTCCTTATTTCCTCATTTACTCGTTCGAAAAATACGGCCTCTCTGAAAATGCCAACATTTGTTGCCCATCCCTAATTGCCCTTAAAAGAGCGATGCCGAGCTGCCTCCCTGAAATGCTGCAGAGTCTGTAGGTAGAGGTAGTGCCTCACTGCTGGGAGGACGGGAGTACCTGGATCTTGGCATCTGTAGCCAGTGCAACCTGAGAGAGATCACACATGAAGCTCATGGTTTGCTCGTCTCTGTCACTGGCTGGTCAGACCAGTGGGCTCTAAGTGGGAGACTTGTGGTTTCTTCCTGACATCCAGTAGGAAATTGAATTTACAATAGTGCATTCCATAACCTCAGAGTGTCTTAAATGGTCATACAGTACTTTTGCAATGCACTACTTTGGGAAATGCAGTTGTTGCTACAATGTGGGAAATGCAACTGCCAATTTGCACCCAACAAGCTCCCACAATCATCAATGAAGTAAATAACTAGTTTGTGGGACTGGTTGAAGGTCTGGACGTCAGGGAGAATCCTTTGTTTAAAGGCTGATTTGAAAGACCGCGCTCTGACAGTGCAGCATGCTCTCAGTATCAAACTGTCAACTTAGATTGCACACATAAGTTTCTCGAATTGGACCTACAACCTTCCGTTTTAGGGGGAGAGAGAGCTACCCAGTAAGTCAAGCCTGACCCATCATTTTACTCCTGCAGTTTGAGAGGCAGTCAGGAGTAGCTAACACTTAGTGAGAAATCCTGTTTTAAATAATAACTGGGAGTTTTGGAGTGCGGGTAATGTCATATTTCAGTGAGTTCTACTCAAAATGTTTGCTCCCAAACTTCCTTGTATTGATATTATTTAGACATCGTTGGTGGAGACAATAGTTAAGAGAGACAATGGTGTCGTGGTGATGCCACTGGATTAGTAATTAAGCAAACGCAGATTACTGCTCTGGGGCAAATCCCACCACAGCAGCTAAATTAATGAATTGGGAATATAGAGCTCTTGATAGTAACTGTTATCAGGAAACTCCAGCCCCTACAGCACCATCAACATCCTGGGGGTTACCATTGACCAGAAACTGAATTAGACTGATCACATAATTGCTACGGCTACAAGAGCAGATCAGAGGTTAGGAATCTTGTAGCAAGTAACTCACCTCCTGACTCCCCAAAGCCTGTCCACCATCTACAAGGCACAGGTCAGGAATGTATTGGGACAGTCCCCACTTGCCTGGATGGGTGCAGCTCCAACAACATTTAAGAAGCTGGATATCAACAGCAGCCATTTGATTTGGACATTTACTCCATCCACCTCCAACACTCGGTAGCAGCAGTGTGTACCACCCACAAGATGCGCTGCAGAAATTCACCAAGGTTCAAAAGACTGCACCTTTCATACTCACGACCACTTCCATCTCAAAGGACAAGGGCAGCAGCGACATGGGAACACCACTCCTGCAAGTTCCCCTCCAAGCCATTCACTATCTCGACTTGCCATTCTTTCAGTGTCACTGGGTGATAATGAATTCCCTCCTTAATGGCACTGTGGGGGCACCTCCAGCACATGGACTACAGTGGTTCAAGAAAGCAGATCAGCATCAACTTCTCAAGGGCAACTAGAGATGGGCAATAATTGAATTGAATTAGCTTTGTCGTCACATGTACTCAAATGAATACAGTAAAAAGTTTACAAGTCGCCACTTATGGCGCCATCTTAGTTACAAGGTGACTAGGTACAGATTCTTCGAATCCTGATGCATGAAAGGTAAGAAAAAAGAGCAAAAGTTAAGAGATATTGCTGTATTGTTTTAAAATAAAGCCTTTTTAAATCAGAGAGATAAACACAGTTGGTAGATCCCACGTGCAGTGAAAGTTGTTTCTGTATTCCTCCCGGATTCTGATTGAATTCTCTTGTTCATAGGACCAGCAGCTGTTACAGAGATGGACACGTACATAGACATGTTGAACCCTGAGGTGAGCCAGCAGAAGGGCAAGGCAGCTGAAGACAATGTCCTTCCCCCACCTCCCACCTTTCCTGCACCAACTCCACCAGTGACCTCTGACCCACCGCCCCCACCTCCCACCTACCCAGCACCAACCCCTCCAGAGGCAAACCTAACTTCAGAAAAGAACGTGGCCACAAAGAGTCATCCTCAACACTCTGATAACGAAACGCCAAAAAGACATGAGGTGAGGATGCTACACAATTACCATGGCAACCAGACAGCAAAGCATCCCATAACGGAATGAAGGTGTGCCTAGCCGAATAACCCACGCAATAGCTTCTGCAAGTGGCTGATTAACAATGTTTATTTTAGTTACAGAGAAACTAGGAGCAGGAGTAGGCCATTTGGCCCTTTGATCCTGTTCCGTCCTTCACTACGATTATGGCTGACCCTCTATCTCAGTATGGTTCAGGGATATGGGCCACATGCAGGCAGACGGGTTTAGTTTATAATAGCAGCATGGTCGGTGCAGACATAGTGGGCTGAAGGGCCTGTTTCTGTGCTGTTTCGTGTTCAATGTAATATCTGCTTCCGTCCCCATACCCCTGTCTTTAAAAAAAAATCTATCTGTTCCTTGTATGATTGAGAATTCTGCAGGTTCTGTACTCCTGAATTGAAGACATTTTTCCTTATCTCAGTCTGAAAAAGACTGTGCCCCCGGTTCCAAACTATCCATACAGGCTGCATGGCTAGACTGCATCTAGTCTGTCTGGCTCTGCTAGGATTTTATACTTTTCAATCAGATTCTCTCTTGTCCTTCTAAACTCTCTCCCCTGCCTTTTTACATAGTGGGGTTACATTTGCCTCCCTCCGATCTGTAGGCACTGCTTCAGACTCTATAGAAATTTGGAAGAGTTTAAGAAAACTATGTAAAGCATTTATTTACTGTTTAACAAATAAAAATGTAAATACAGCGTCAATGACAGAAACAAAAGATGTACCTGAAACGAGGAAGATTGTGACAGTTTTATCTAAAAAGGCACTTCTGAGGTACCAGCTTGAATAATCATCCTCGGTCTATGGCAGTCCAGAAACTGCAGGTCGAGGAGGCTGAGAGAGGAGAGAGGAACAGGGAATATGAGAACAGAGAGGAGAGACGAACAGGGAATATGGGAACAGAGAGGAGAGAAGAACAGGGAATATGGGAACACTGCATAAAAGACACTGCAGAGTGGTGGGTGCGTGGAATGCACTGTTGGCAGTGGTGGTGGAGTCAGATACATTAGGGACATTTAAGCGATTCTTGGATAGGCATGTGGAGGATAGTAAAATGGAGGGTATGCAGGGTAGATTGAATTTAGTAGGATAATAGGTCGGCACAACATCATGGGCTGAAGGGCCTGAACTGTGCTGTACTGTTCTATGTTCTATATTCTACGTTCTAAACAAGACAGAGTTAACTTCAGAGATGGTTGAGATAAAGGTGAGACTTCAGGTTGTACCTCGCTCACCTGGCACTCGCTGTGTCCAGCTGGGGAGGTGGGACTACAGTTCCCGGGTCAGCTACAGGGCTCTGGGGAAATCTCCCATGGTCTGGAAAATTCCCTAATCTGGCAAAGACCTGGTTCTGAGGCAGATGGATGACAGAGGTACAATCCGCAGAACCAAGGGAGTTCTCTGTCACTGGGCTGATCAGGAAGAGGCATTGGGGGAAGGATGGTGCAGGTGACTGTATCAGAGCCTACTGAGAGGCTACCCTTAGTGGGATGGTTAATAACAAGGGGCATAATTTTAAGGTGAAAGGCAGGAGGTTTAGTGGGATTTGCAGAATTTTTTTTCAGCCAGAGGTAGTGGGTGTCTGGAATGCACTGCCTGAGGGTATCTTAGGTGAGTAACCTCACAACCTTTAAAAAGTACTTGGATGAGCACTTGAAATGACATAAGATGGAAACAGGCATCCTGAGGATATGTTCCTACACCATCCTCCTCTCCTTTCCTTTCCTCTCTTCTCTTCTCCTTTCCTCTCCTCCACTACCCTCTCCTCTACTCCCTGCCTCTCTCTCTCCCCCCTCCTCTCTCCTTCACTACCCTCGCCCTCTCCCTCTCTCCCCCCTTCTCCCTCTCTCCCTCTCCCTCTTGCTCTGCTCTGCTCCCCTCCCCTCCCCTCCCCTCAATACATTCAGTCAGTCACTTGCCCAGGGAAAGGAAGTGATTTTTTGGGTGATCAGACATTGTGAAATAAGTTATTATATTGCAATTAAACTCATTATGAAAGCAGCAATCACAAGTGCATTTTGCAGTTGAAAGCTCTGTGAGAACAATCAGCCTTGTTGAGTCCTATTAAGTGTTGAAGGAATCCTCAGGGCCATTGTGAGGGCCACTTGCTTTTATTTACTAACCAGTGAACACTGACTAAACAACCTTCCCCATTAGGAAAACCTGCACTGTTCAATTAACATCAAACCTGATGCAGAAGACTGTACTAATGTAGCAAAATAACTCATTCCGTTTAATTCTCGGCCTGGGAATGTTGCCTGTCTCAGTCTTCCTGTTTGTTAAAGGGCCTGCAGTAATTGCATAATGCTTTTGGAACTTGTCTAAAGCAGATTATACAGTTTGTGGGAGTTTATGTTGTTTCAAGACAGAGTTTAAATGAAACATCAGTACAGCAACAACATGATGCAAGGAGTTGCATTATCTAGTTTCTCAATTTTACGACATGCTGAAGTTCTTTGCAATCCATGAAGTGTAGTCACAGTTTTAATGTGGGAAAAGTGGCAACTAATTCTGTGCACAGCAAGCTCCCACAAACGGCAATGAGATAATGACCAAATAAACTGATGTGAGTAGAGGGTGCCTTGTTGAGTGACACCGAGGAGTTGTTGGAGGGTGGTCAAGTACTTGTTTTAATGTGAAAGTGGATGGCCCACAGTCTTAGCTGGAAGAAAATAAAGTGGAAGGTTAGGTGTGGCCTCTCCCCAAACCATGGTCAGTGCTAGGCTGAAGCGTTACCTGGTAGATTCACATTTAGGGATGGGTGGTCTACACTGGGGGCGCACAAGGACATTTGATCATTTTTCTAGGGTGATGGGGAAAGAGCAGGGGGAATAGGATCCTCTCTCAACTGCTGGTGTCCTGGTGGCTGGAAGGAACCTATCAGGCAGGTCCAACATGTTTAAATAGGGGGATGCCATTCAGTCCTCAATATTGTTCAGCTAGTTGTGACACCAGGCCAGCCCTGTATCTATCCACCTTGGTTCTGTAGCCCTTAAAACTGCTGCTGAACAAGAATTTAACAATCCCTGAAGACTGGAATGTTGAGATGCAGCTCAACAAACTTCTGGGAATCACATTTTCACTCAGGGAATGGAGATGTTGGTATCTTGGTGTCATCAGTGCCTCTCAGCATGCAGGTCTTCCTACATCAAGTGATTGTAGCTTCAGCTACTACTCCAGAGTATTGAGAGATACATCTCTCCTGACATTGTCAAATTGAATGCATGGAGGACTGCACTGTTGGGAGGTGCCATTTTTTTGGATGAGGTGTTTGACTGAAGCCCTTCAATGAGGCATTTTAAAAAAGGCCCTGTCTGTTCACTCAGGTGGAAGGATCCATGGCACAATAGTAGGTGTACTGGCTGATATTTATCTCTCAACCAACATTATTAAAGAAGATTGCTGATCATTGTCACATTGCTGCCTTTGGGACCTTGCTGATCAGGATTTGGCTACCGTCTTTCCTACTTTACAACAATGCCTGCAGATCAAAAAGAGAAACTTGTAAGGTGCTTTTTAGACATCTGGAGTTCATGCAAGATGCAATATATAAATACAAGTCCTCTTTCTTTTAAATGAGAAAGGAAAAGGTAGGAAGGGGCTGGTTCTTCCAATCTGGTTGTCTTGAAGCGTTGAATTTGTGCAGCTCTCATTCATTGCGAGCAATCTAATTAATTGAATAGAATTACTGGTAAATGATGTTTGGTCAAATTAGTCCTTAGTGTAATTATGTTTCTGTCTGGTTCAGCATTTCCCTTGTGGTTTTGACCATGGCTCCAATGACCTCTCAACTCATTAAAAATTGAAATTCCCTTCTGCAAGTATTTGGTGACAATTCATTATTCGGGGGAAAAAGATACTCTTAAATTGGGTCATCAGAGAGAAAGCTGTGCAGTTAAGTGACAAAACAAAAGCTGAAAGGGAGATTGATTACTGAAGGGAGATGAAAGGGAAAACAACAATTATGTAATTTTGAGAGTATCGTTGACCCCATAAAACAATCAAACACCTATCAACATTCCAATATTTCAAGGTACGTCACACTCAAAATGAAGATTAACAGTACAACAAAATTTGTTTCTGTCTGTATTTAATAATTTGTGGGAACAGGTTCACATTGTTGTTTTTGGTGGAGCATCGCAAAGTAGGGGTTGGAACTTTGGGATCATGAGCTCCAGGGTTGACCCACCCTTCCCACTGCAATGGTCGAACCACCCCCTCCCCTCTATCAATGGTCTTCTGTTCTGCATCACCCTTGTCCTCTCCAGATAAAGGTTCCTGAGGGGTCATGACAAGCGTCAAAATAGGATCACAGTGGGAAAACTTTTGGGAAGCACTGGTATACAATGTGCAAATACAGCAACAACAATATTGTATTTATATAGTGCCTGTTATGGAATAAAAGTCCCAAGGCATCAGAAAACAAGCTATAATATTAACACATATTAGGAGAATTTTTAAATTCATTCACATAATACGGGCATCACTGGTTAAGCCAGCATTTATTGCCAAGAGGACAGTTAAGAATCAATCACATTGCATATGCCTGGAGTCACATGAAGGCTAGACCAAATAAAGATGCTCAAGGACATTATTGCACCAGATGGGTTTTTCTCCAACAGTCATTTCATGGTGATTATCAAACTCTGCATTCCAACATTTTTAAAAAATGAATTCAGATTCCACCATCTGCTTTGGTAGGATTGGACCCAGAGATCCTGAGAACATTACCTGGCTCTCTGGAGTAATAGCCTGGTGATAATACTATCAGGCCATCACCGCCCTTCACTGGGACAGGTGTCCAAAAACTTAGTCAAAGAGTTATGTTTTCATGAGTGTCTTACAGGAGGAGAGCAAGATATTGTTTGATGGAGAAATTTAGTGAAGGCATTCCAGAGCTTTGTTCTTCTGCAACAGAAGGCATGGCTACCTGCAGCAGAGTGGTTAAAATCAGGAATGCTGAAGCTG